CCGACGCTTCAGAGGTACTTATTTCCTCCATCTTCAGGTCGACTACATTTCATTACAACCCAAAATACAGCCATATTTATTTAAGTTAATTTTCCTCTTAAGCATAACCATTCCGAAACAGACTTTATTTTACCAATGCCTCTGGGAGTAGATGAAATTTCGTCTAAACCCGTTCGGAATTTTCGGATATGTACGTCTGACGGTGGGAGTAAGAAACGTGATTTCCCCATTGGATACGCAGTACGATAGGAAAATTTTTCGATGTTAGTAAAGCAAAGGAAGGTTCATCATGTACTGCACTGAGAAATAAACTCAGAATATTTACACAAGTTAACAACAGCAAAATATAAAGTATACAGAACAGACAAAAGAACAATCATATTATGATATGGTTCTGTGTCGTAAGCCTCATGACAAATATATCGTATTCAAAGTTTAAATTCTGAGTTCTTCATAATCTTTTCTTTTGCGATCTCTCGTTTATTCTGTATTTATCGATTACACCCTCTCCTTAATCGTTACGACCCCGGAACGTAAACCCATTAGTTTACGGAATAGAAGTCCTCATCAACTCTGCCGTATCACAAAAACATTTTCTCGCGTTGACTTCGTAGCTCCGTGAAATTAGCTCTGTCAATTTCATGGCAGTAAATTTGCAAGCGAATTAGTTTAGTTTCCAACTGTTAATATGTACGGCTGTTAAATATGCAAGAACTTCCTCGAAGTCACACACATTTGCATGTTTCGCCATCTCCGCCATATTTAGGTCTCATGCTAAGCAGAAGCTATGATGATGATGATGATGATGATGATTTAGGGGCTGTTTAATTACGATGAAGCAACGTCAGATAGTCCAATGATGCAACAAGTAAGATTTTAACATGGCACATTAATCCCTCTTTCAACGCGGGGGATACTTCATTCGGTGAACCCGCGTTGTACGAAATTAATATAGTATGGAATTAATGGGGATAGGGGAACGCGACCTTGGAAACTCGAATTAAATAAACAAAAAATCATAAATATATACTGTAATAATATTTATTTGCGAATTATGTAATGTTATAAAGTATCATCGGAAACTTGAGTATTAAAGTAAAACATGAACGGAAAGCTAGACTTTAAAATAAAATATAAACCTAACGTTAGATTAACTTTTGTAGGGCTCATATGTCTTGTGTTTCGTCATCCAATTTAAGAAACGAATTTATCGGTGGATCGATTGGCGGATGGATGTAGCACGCAAGAGGGAATGCAAACGACCACTTTGGAGACAGGCATAAATCTGAGAATAATATTAAAATGTTTATCAAATAAATACGGTCTAAGGAATGTTCTGGATTCAAGTGGCCCAAGACAGGATCCAGTCGTGAATTCTTTCCACGTACGTAACAACCTTCCGGTTTCTATAAAAGACGGAAAATTGACCACCAGTGGTACGCGTGCCATAGGTTGAGAAACGCTGGTCTAGTGGAAATTCACCGACGTTTCAGAGGTGTTTACTGCCACAAACATTGAGGGGGGTGGGGGGGATTTTGCCAGGTTACATGGTTCAACATCCCATAAAACAGTTAACCTTCATACGCGCACGCAATTGTGGAAACCTGGAACGTGTTTGTTGTTTCAGGATCCCAGGTTCAACAGCGAGATCGACTTGAGGACCGGGTACAAGACCAACCTGATACTTTCCATGCCAATATGCAACTATGAGGGAGAAGTGATCGGGGTGGCTCAGATCATCAACAAGACAAACGACACCAAAGAATTCACCAAGCGTGACGTTGAGGTAACTCTTTAGCGCAGATAACTTCTGAATTATTATTATTATTATTTAGTGTTCTGTCTGACGACAGGTCCATATGAACAGGATCCTTCCATCCTTTTCTCGGACTGGGACCTGTTCATATACGTTCTTGGCAGATGATCCAGAAGGGGTTTGCCATTGCCTTCTTCTGTGTGAGAAATTGTTGGGATTCCACGGAGAAACCGGGGAAGCCCCCAGAGGAAAACTCCGTGTTGCCTAGACTGGGATCTGTTCATATACGTTCTTGGCAGATGATCCAGCAGTGGTTTGCCATTGCCTTCTTCTGTGTGTGAATGGAGTAATTGTTGGGATGCCACGGAGGAAAACTCCGTGTTGCCTAGACCACGGCCTTGCCCAACACAAGTTATAAATTCGAACCCGAGACCCCAGGATTACAAGGCCAGCGTTCTGACCGCTAGACTACCGTGTACTGATAACTTCTGAATAAACTTAATAAAGTTAAGATCAACAGTTTATCTCCTAGTATTGTTTCATGAGTGCATAACGTAGAGGTTATGTCTGTTAGTTATCAGTTTTTATTTCCGAAGCCTATTTTATGACTATAGACGAAATCTACCTTAAGATCGATGTATTAAAATTTTACATGCTAATTTAGTTTCCTTGATATTTTTCCACTTTTCCACATTATTTACATGAACGCTGGACAGAACATACCAGATTTAAAAAGACACTCATCTTAAGCTATAACAGGTCTGATAAAATGAGACATATAAGTTTTATCTTAAGTATTTTTGAAATAATTACGTAATATACGAAAAATAAGTCATGGGTATATGAAAGTTTTTATCTACAACCTGTACTACGTTTTTAAACAACGGAATTTATAAGTTTAGGTACAGCGAGTAATGGATTTTTGTTCGTAGTAAAAGATAAACGTTAATAGAAGAAACTCGTCTAAAAACTTCTTATAGTTCAGTCCTTGCTTACCTGTCCGCGTTTGTTTCAAGTACTGCTTCAAGATTAATTTCCTTCTCCAATAGCAGCTTACGAGGCGCAGCTATTCTAAACTTTTTTTTAAGAATTAGCAGTAACTGACTCTTTACAGACATAATTTATTAGAGTTAAATTCCTTTCGTGACTGTTCAAGACATTCCACTCAAAGGTAAGGGACTGCCATATTTGTCTACATCTACGGAGCTCAGAAAAATCTCCAGGAGCAACAAGTGAAAAGTCTATTTTACAACTGAGACAGATGTATCAGAGGGATTTCGAAATTCTTCAGGCCACTTACAGACTCAGACACTAAAACACTTGAAGATGACAGTATTCTTGGATGTCGCGCCTTGTAGCCTGAAGGATGTTTACCGACGTCGGTAAACATCCGCCAGACTACACAGCACAACATTTTCCGAACATAGACAACTTCCTACTCGCTTCCGTGAAAACGTGAAATCTCACTAAAACGTATCTTTAAATTATTCTCCGTCATCACGTCGCATATTTTCCGATAATTAATTGTTCTTTCGCAGAAAACAGACCTCGCTTAAGCTATTCTTATATGAACGTCTCCTAGTTAGTTGGTACAAAATATGAAGCCATAATTTTATCGCTACCTACCTAATATGTGTTTATGATCACTCCATACAAATCATGAACAATGTGTAGTTACGTGCACCCTTGCAGTAGCGGCAACTTCTCTGACAGAAGTGAAATGCGTGAAGTCTATACAATGCCTCGAAGGAGACGTTAAATACGACACAGTTCCCATAGAGACAGAAAACAATGAAGCCTTCTCCTGACTACGAAGACGAATAGATGGCCTGAAATGTAATTTCCGAATTTTCACATATTCGAAGGTTAGTCGTTAGAATCTCGAATTTTTCGGAGCTCCTACAAACAAACGCTGAGACAGAACAAGATTTTTCTAGGAGGAGCCTCAACTGATGTCTTCTTCTTGGAATATGACTTCTTGTTGCTGTTGTGATGGGCTGAGACTGTGTGGAACTGTGGGCTCTAAGGGCCCCATTGTCCAACCCCCATGACACATGAATGAATATGGAGCAGAGATGGAATGATATTGACGAGAAAATCGAAGATCTCGGGGGGGGGGGGGGGTTCTTACTAGAGCAAAGCCGACAGCTAACCATCTGAGCTATGACACGGCCTTGAAAATTGCCTTAATGGCTGATTTCCAACTAAAAGCTCGCATATGCCTTCACACTTCGCCTATATAAAAATTATGCACTTGCTACGCGCTTCAGTCAGCTTTACCCAAGGCAGAAGAGTCTCGAATATTTCGATGTACACGTAACTAAAAAAGGCTCAGAGACATATTTTTCTTTTTTTAGAATTACTATTTTACAACCAAGTTCCCTGTCTTATAAAAATACCGTATCTTATATTTCTTACGGGTATTATGACAAAGACGTCGCCTCTAAAATATTTGACTTTGTATTTTCAGGTATTTCAGAGGTACCTGACATTCTGCGGAATCGGAATACAGAATGCTCAGCTATTTGAAATGTCTGTACTGGAATTTCGGAGAAATCAGGTAAGCAATAACGAATCGAAGATCTTATTCTGAAAATCTTCCCCTCTTTTGATCATAAAATTACTCTGAACAGTTACGCAATCCAATATCCCCCATTTCTGCGTCCAACAACGATATAAGTGCGAAGTGCGCTCACACTTGATTATTCTCGTCAGACTTAAGAGCTAATTTACTATAAACTGGTTTAACTCTTTATAGCACATCTTCGACAATGTGTATCACGAACTACAGTGTTATACTATAACAGGGGATTACATAAAGATGTCGTAACTTTTTATTTTGGTGGGTTCTGTCAATAAATGGCAATATTTTGTTAATATTCTTCATTATCCATTAATTTTTTAACGATGACCTTGCATGGTTCTTTCGAGGACCAAAACTATTTTTAAAATATTATAAATATTATGCGTATGAGCTTCGTGCTTCAAAGCATTAAGTGATCATCATAAAATTGTTATTCACATCCTAAAGTAAATTTTCATTCAGTCTCAGTGGAAAGGCCTCTTTCATTTAAGTAACAGTTGACATATGAACCCCAAATTATGGTACTCGTATTTTGAAATGTATCCTTTGTCAATTTAAATCTTTAATGTTACATCTCTGTAATATCTTATTTCTACATCGCAACCACGCATTTAACAGCAGCAGAATTGTGACAAGGTTCCCTTTTCTACTAAGTCTGAGAGCAGACAAACGCATTTCTTTCCTTAAAAAAATAAGTCAAAGGCTCTTCCGTTATATTAAAGATATAAATCTATTTTTCCAAATATTTTAGTTCCATCTTCACAAATTATGTTTTTCTTTTATCCAGTTACATAATCATTATGTCAAAATGTATTCCAAATCAAAGCTGTATGACGTAATGAGGTCTGTTTTATTTATTTTACCGAAAGCAACTTCACGATAAGGCCTGTACATTATGACACAAAGCAAAACGTAATTTTCCTCGAATACAAAATTTTGTCAAAATCCAAGCAGATACTTGTGGACAGACTGATGTTAAAATATTTCCATTATTGTTTCATGCTATTCACTTGTGAAAATAACGTACAGAAATTAACGCACTGTAATATCCTAACAAAAGCAAAATTTAAAACTAGTAAACTATTGCTTCACTTATGGTCTGTTATCTTAGACAAGGCACGTGGTTACACAATTACATTACAGTCCACTTGGGGAAAAAAACAGAAATGCATACTCTGGCTTTGTACGGTTTGCCAAGTTGCAAGTAACAACCCATAAGACTTAAACCTTCGAAGCCGAAGCTTACTTTAAAATTTAAGAATTCATTCCGTACCGCGAAGAAAACACCACACTTCACCATTACTTAGATCAGCTGGTTTACGCTGTTTAGGGAAATAACAGCTGTTTATTATTAAAATCATACGAAACACATAAATATAGCATGAACAGTGACTGATGTGTAAGCAGGTGGTACATATAGTTACCATTTGACTATAAAGGGTTAATATTGCACACAGGCGGCACAAATTTTATTCCTGTGGCATGTTCAGAAGATATGTTCGTTTTTCCACAGATACTGCTGAATCTCGCGCGTAGCATCTTCGAGGAGCAAAACAACCTGGAATGTCTGGTGACGAAGATCATGACAGAGGCCCGCGATCTTCTCAAGTGCGAGCGATGCGCCGTCTTCCTCCTGGACACCGAATGCTGCGAGGCGGTGAGTCCCAAGCACCTTCACACTTGCCGTTCCCGAATATAATCGTTGGTAGCTGTCAGACGGTAGGCGATGTCACTACGTCGTATTACGAGAGAACCATCTTGTGCGTATCTGTTGACGTCAAGTAGCAGTCTCGATGAAGATGACATTCATAACACAGAATTACACATGACTTTTCAAACATTTTTTTTAATATTATCCTCCCATATATGTGTCGCATTTCTGCTGCTGTGATATTCCAACCAAAATGGCGTTTAAACTCACATTTCTTTTCCTCTGTGCATAATAAATGTTTTGGCTAGTAACCCTTTGGGATCGTCGGTTCGAATCCTGCTCAAGGTATGAATGTTTGTCCGCGTCTGTCTGTGTGTTGTGCTATCCTGTACAGGCAGACGCCTTGCGTCGGGATGATCACTCGTCCAAGGACCCCTACCAAATGTCTACACAGCTTAATTTCACGAGCACTTATGAGCTGGAACAAACCTTAAGGTGTAATCAGGAAAGGGTTCATGATCATGATGACGATGATTACGTCATATCCTATGAGGTGCTCATTTCCTGCTCATGTTTCACACACTGACGTTTAAAACTTGCTTTTTCTGAGACACGGACGTACAAAATCCAGTCCCTTGTTGCATGTCACACACAAGAGCTTATGGAAGCGATCCCAAAGCAAAAGTTGTATCGTTGCTTTGCGGCGGAAACATCCGAGAAATCATTCAGGGCGGAGGGAACAACAACGGCACAGTCGGAAAAAAATTAGATGATCCTACAACTAGGTATATGAATTTAAGTTAGCAGCAAACAAGTGACTAAGCCAAATTCTCTAACTCTGCAACAAAAACACCTCATGTGATATTTCAGATACTGAATCCGAGGATGGCTATCTTCCGGGTTGAAGCACCGTGTAGTCTGATAGAAGTTTACCGACGTTTCATTATCAGGGATTTCCAGTAGCAAGGACCAATGAAAATTTCATAAAAAATAAGTCCATAACGCAATTAAGTTCTGTATGATGAATAAACTGTTTTGCCATGGCATATGGTCCTAAGTAATTTTAGGGTCATACAGCGAGCAAACGTCCACAGTACATACTTACACAACTGTGTTGTGTACTTTACAGAGCCACCTGGAGAAAATCCTTGAGCGTCCTAACAGGACCATACAGGAAAGAAAACCACTGTGCAGGAGAGAGGTTAGTTTCAGTATTAACCGAATGATCTTCTTTATCTTCTGAACAGGGTTAAACTCTACTTTATTAAATTTAATAAGACGATACATTATATTCGCAAACAAATTCTTTAGACCACTATTTCAAAAATCAGCTCGAATTATTAAAAAAAAAACGAGATACATTCCATAAGTAACTCAGTTCAATATTAATGCACCCTTTTTGATAACAGAGCTCACGAACCATGGTCAAACTCTGATATTCATAAATCGAATTCATAGTAAAATACAGTTTCAAATACAAAAATATAATATTGGTAAACTGATATATATACAAAAAGTAATGAAAATAAGATTAAACCTTGCTACAAGACAGCACAAAAAATATATAACTCACTTCGGTAAGTCATTAGTCACGACTTTCGGACCCCCGATTGACAAACACCGTACAGAACGATCCGCCCTTCTTGAAAAAAGAACTATAAATCATATAATGATTTCAGTCGGGATTCAACATTTGAAATTACTTGTTGGGAATACACGTTACCTGCTGATCGTATTACCACTACAGCTTGTGGAACGAATT